GGTTTAGCATTCATACTTAGTCCTCTAAGACCATTAAGCAACGTACGAATCAATTGATCTCCAGCGTTCCCCTGACCCGCCTCCCCCCGTCTCAACTCACGCAATTGTTCATTTTGCAGATTATTTAAATCTCGCAATCGCAAAATTTCCGCCCGTAATTGATTATCACCCATTCCCTGTAATATTTCTTCCGCATCTCCCGTCATTATTAAAGTTTTATTATTTTCTTGGTGAATATTTTTCGAATGATTATTATTTCGTTTCTTATCTTTCAAAGGCGATAACAACAGTGTATGTTTTGAACGGGTGTTCGGTGGTGTCCTCGCGGTCATAAATACAAACAATCAACGTACTAATTGGAAACTAAAATACGCAAATAATTTTTCACGAGTCAAAAATCTCAATATATAAAGAACATAAAATATCGACCAATATAACATAAAATATTAAGGCAACAATCTATCGTGCCCCACGTTGGGCGCCAAAAATGTAGCGATTCTAACTTTCCTTTAAACAAATCACCCATTTAAATTTTAATAAAAATACAATTTAAGAAAATTATTATTAAACAAAACATACAGTAAAAAATTTATAAAAGCTTAAATAAATAATGGTGCAAAATTATAAGGTTAACTCCGTCCGTTTATTAAATCACAACTAAGCAAAATAAATTAATTTCCATTTAACATAAATAAGGATCGAATTTCAATAATAATCAATACAATTTATATATAATAATTACGAGACTCTGCGCAGAGCGAATTACTTTTAAAGATATAAAATCGATATATATATATATATATATATATATATATATATATATATATATACATACACAAAATTTATGACGAGATACTAAATAGAAAATAACACACTAGCATACAGAATTCATTCATACATAACAATATACGTTAAATTGGTCAAACAAAAAAAAAATATGATTCGCGAAATCACACGCCTGTCGTTTCTATAAATTAGCGTCCTACTCTCTGTCTACCTTTCATTAATATAAATCGATAATCACAAAATTTGGTACTCATCTTATTCCATTAATTGACGAGGATGATGATACGAATCTCGTGTCGGCTTACTTTCGTCAATATCCTGGAATTTCCGTCACAGCAATCGGGAAACACCTCCATCAATGCGACCGGTCAATTCTCCAGGAATCAAATTTATTGTAAAGCCATTATTCAGAGAAGTTCTCGGGAATCGATACTCGAAAGGTATTTTTAAACGCCCACACTTTTATAACAAGCCAAGGGAAAACAAAATATTATATAAAAACTTACAAAAAACATAGAAAATTGATGTAAGACGAAAAAGAGAATTCACCTTTCCGTGTCCTCGGCCGGCACGTGAGAGCGTAGCCTATATCAGTTCCGTCGACGGGGCGTGAAACGCGAATGACTTATCATTCGCATAAAATCCCCGAAACGACGACCAAATTCGGCCTATTCCCTCACATTACTCCTTTTCTCTTCATATTTCGAGAACACGAAAATTCATATAAGTTTAACCGGTAGCATCACCAAAGGGGCCACCCGACTGCAGAAATCCATCATAAAAAAAAGACATCGTCTCAACATATATAGTTTAAAATACTTACATAAAAAAGTGAGTTGATGAAACCCTTAGACAAACGTCTTCCACTGAATCTGTTTCGAATATTGAATCTGTAAAGAAAATTTTATGTATAAAATGGTAGCTGATTATATTTAATATTATGAAAGTAATTATTGAAACCTACATCAAAATGAACTCCTTTTCCTTTGTTTCTCAAACACACACAGCAATCTGTAATTAAAATGTACAGAATCCTTTTCCAATGCCTGGTTAAACCTCTACTCGTATAAGCTATCACTCTAGGTATGTTGAATGCTATTACTGCAGTGGTTGAATGACCGATAATACTCTACTGCTGGTTTACTATGAGCTGTAATTCTGTAATTCTGGTGCTGGAGGTGGTGTTGGAGCTGGAGATGTTATTGAAGCTAGATCCTGAAACAGAGTGGCGGTCCTCTGTTCTGGGACTACCCGAGGTACCTTCCTCCCTACCACGAGTTATATTCCCACCACTGTCGCTTCTCCCACTAATATTTCATCTACTGTTATACTAGCGTCCTCTACGTAAAATATTGAAGATTAAAACATGCTTTACATACATACATTTTATTTATAAAACATAAGAAAACAGATAGTTATAAAAGTTTTATATTTGAATTTTTTTAAATTAAAAATTGAAAATATAAATTTAGTTATATTTACATTTTTATTTTTTACAAAAAAACTTCTTTTTTTAATCACACCTACTTTTCTTTATATTTACATATTTATTTTTACAAAAAATTTCTTTTTTCAATCCCATCTACTTTTTTTAACCTTACGTGGTATATCCCACCTACTTCTTTTAACTCTAGGTGTCATGTTCCAAGCTTCCGGATCATCTTTAGTGTTTCTTCTCCAAACCTCCAGGTCAATTGTTTTTAATTCGGATATTCGTTTCAAGTTATTTTTCCTGGGGTCAATTGGTTCTAATTCGGATATTCTTTTCAAGCTATTTTTCCTGGGATCTTCTTTATTTTTTTTCAAAACCTTCGGATCAATTGTTTTTAAGCTACATATTCTTTCAAGGGTAGTTTTCCTAGGATCCTCAAACATTTTAAAAACTACAACACCTCCAGGTTTGAATATAATTTTCTGTAAATAAACAATATTTGTATTATTAAAATAAAACAAATATTAACTTTTTAAATTTGATTTCAAAATATTAAATAAAAATGCATACCATTTTATAGTATCAAAGGATACTTATTTTTTTATTATAAAAATAATAGTCTTCACTATCTTTTTATTATGAAAATAATATTCTTCAATATATTTTACACTGGAACTACTATTTTCACTACGAGAACACTTTTAATGAAGAGAATAGTTTTTACGAAGAGAACAGTTTTAATAATATTAATTAGTTTTTAATAATATTCTTCAATATATTTTACACTGGAACTACTATTTTCACTACGAGAACACTTTTAACGAAAAGAACAGTTTTCACGAAGAGAACAGTTTTCACAATGATAGGTAGACTCAAAATATATCCGGAAAAATTTCCAAAAATTTACCCCTACCCCAACCACCCACCCACCAACATATTTAAAGTCTGTAAAAAAAAGGTTAAAAGTTTCAAATATTTTTATGATAGTGTTCACAGGTAGCTGTAAAATTGAAAAGAATAGTTTTTTCATGAAGAGCACAGTTTTCACAATGATACGTAGACTTAAAGTATATCCGGAAGAATTTCCAAAAATTTACTTTCCCCAACATATTTAAAGATTGTAAAAAATTTAGAAAGTTTCAACTATTCTTATGATAGGGCTCACAGGTAGCTACAAAATGTTTGTTCAGTCTGAAGGTTTCTTAGACAATGTCTTTATTCTATTCAAGATGCAGGTTGAAATATCTTTTTTTATGATAGGGTTCACAGGTAGCTGCAAAATTGTACAGGCATGTTAAAACCTGTCTGAAGGTTTTTTAGACAATGTCTTTATTCTATTCAAGATACAGGTTGAAACATGCTTTAAGATATTCAAAAAATACTATTGTTATCTTAGAAAAAGACGAGTTGAGACTTGCTCACATATTTTTGGACAATACATTTATCCCCATGGTGCTGTAGTACCAGTGAAGCATGCTGCAAGAGTCAGGTAGACAGGTCTGACGCATGAAACTTTCACTCACTCAACGCGGTAACCGTACGCGCACTTTTGCTGCGCACTGGGCCTTACCACCACCCACCACCACCCACTCCCACTACCCACAACGCCTGCGCGGTATCTCACGAACACTTAATCCCTCGCGCTTCTCTATACGATTTTTGAAATTTCTGGTTTATACTAAGTGGGTGGTGGTGGGTGGTAATATTGGAAATATATATATAAAGGAAAAAAGTGGGTGGGCGGGAGGGGGTGGTTAACTAAGAGCAATAGAAGAGGGTGGGTGGTATTTGCATATTCTATATCCAAAAGGGTGGAGAGTGGGTGGAATTTGGATAAACTAAAAGGGTTAACAATGAAAGTTAAATAATAAACAATAGAAAACGTATGCAAATTAAAAGGGTTAACTAATTTACATATGCAAATCAGGTACCCCACCAACCCTCTGTAACTTTTCCATATATTTAAATATATACAAATTAAAAGGGTTAACTAATTTAAATATATACAAATCAGGTACCCTACCAACGCTCAGTAACTTTACCACATATTTAAATATATGCAAATTAAAAGGGTTAACTAATTTGAATATATGCAAATCAAGTATCCCTACTAACGTCAATTAAAAGGGTTAACTAATTTAAATATATGCAAATTAGATACCCCACTAACGTCAATTAAAAGGGTTAACTAATTTAAATATATGCAAATCAGGTACCCCACCAACGGCCGGTAAATTACCCACATATACCCCACCAACGGTCGGTAAATTACCCACATATACCCCACCAACGGTCGGTAAATTACCCTCGCGGTCGGTAAGTAGGAATCTACATTACCGATTTTATCCAGAACCGGCCTAGCTATACTACTGATTTTTAAGCAAACTTTTCAGGAACAGTTATTGAAGTTTTTTATTTGAAGACCAGTGTCTGTCATACGAAATTTTTCAGACTATGTGAAAATTATTGTTTTAATATTCAGTTTTGAAAATTAGAAAATTTATGCACGAGTTAATAAAAAAATGTTCATGTTGCCTGAAAGCAACACTGGTCCTCAAAGGGTTAATGGGAATAGTACACAAAGCATCCTTGGCCATGTACTGATCAAAAGAAAAAATATTAGAAACCCCAATTTTTTCAAAGATAATGTCGTATAATCGATTTCGAGAAATCCTTTCATTGTTACACTTTTCTGACAATGATTTAGATACAAATGATAAACTTGTAAAAATTTGTCCTGTGCTAGACAATCTATTAGAGCAGTTTAAAGCTACTTATAGACATGCCGAAAGTAGATTTAAAAAAAATTAAAACTGGTGATTTGCAAATTCGACACACACCTAAAGTCTGTTTCTTAGCATGGAAGGACAAAAAAGCAGTTACAATGTTGACAACCATGCATGAACCTAAGTTGATCAACACTGGTAAATTAAACAGGCGTACGAGAGAAATTGTTGAGAAACCTAATGTTGTCATTTCCTACAACAATAATATGGGAGGAGTCGATCTTATGGATCAGTCTCTCTCCGTTTATCATATTATTTACAAAACAATCAAGTGGTATCATAAACTTTACTTTCACTTAATCGACATTGCTATTTTCAACGCATACGTAATTTATAATCAGCTTCACCCGGAAAAGAAAATAAGACACTTGCAGTTTAGACACTCAATAGTGACAGAAATTCTTCAACTTCATCACCATCAAATACCACAGGTTAAGCAAAGTGTGCGTCATGTTGACAATCCGATCAAATCCTCAAAGACACATTATCCTGCTAAAGGGTCGAAAAGACGATGCACTGTTTGCTATTCTTCCCACATAAGGAAAAAAACAACTTGCATGTGCGAAGAATGTGATGTACCCTTATGTTTTGCTCCTTGCTTTAAAAAGTATCACTGTCGTAGAAGTGATTAAATGTGTTTTAAATAGAAACACTTCAAAAAAAGTAGAAAAAACTTTATTTCTAACATTTTTAATAATTTTAAAATAATTACTATATAATAAAATTTGAAAAGAAAAATACAAAAAAAATTTTTTAAAAAGTTAAAAAATTTAAAAAATACAAAAAAATAATGGAGTGTAAAATCCCGACAGCCTCCTCGCGGCACACTCTGGGTGTATGTTTTACGATACTTAAAAAAGTCAAACATCAGCTAATGTCAGGGTACTAAAAAATGATTTTATTCTTTTTAAGTTTAATTTTATACCCCCCCCCCCCCCCGAGTAATGAGTTTCAATCAAATTCGATAAAATTTAATAAAAAAGTCCGCCATTTTGGATTTGACATTTTGAATTTTAGAAAATTAATATTGGATTCGTAATCAGCGACCCCAAAAACCCCCGAGTAACACTTTTTAGGTGGATCGGTACAGTAGAAATATTATTTTGGTCAAAGGCGTCAGTGACACTCAACGGGTTAAAAAAAATTTTTTTCTAAAAAAAATTTTGTACATTTTTTTTCTGTTTCTACATGACAAAATGAACAATTTATGTTCTTAAAAAAATTTTTTTAAACAAACCGTTTTTGAGTTATTAACAATTGAAAAAAATGGCTAATTATTTAAACAAATGATCATATTATTCTTAAAAGTTATGGAAAAATTTTTTTTTAAATGCGTTTAAAAGGTGATAAAACTAGCTTTAAAATAATATAAGAGTGATTTACATGCAATGATTTTCTAAACAACTGTATCGCTTTAAAAAAGCCAAAAAAAATTGAAAAATTTTAAGTTGCAATAACATTTTTTAAACATTAACAAATTAATTTTTAAAAATTTTGTTTTATACAGTGTTGAAGCTTAGGAAAATAGCTTTAAAAAGAGACCTTTTTGAGCTTTTTTATCTTTAATAATAAACAAAATACAAAACTTTTTGTAAAGTGTTTAATCGCTGTAGGGTGGGCAAAAGTTATTGAGCAGCACTGTAGGTATTAAGGTGGCCGTTAAAAACGACAATTTGGAATTTTGTCCATTTCTGGGTCTCATTTTGTCACAAATTAGAAAAAATTAGATACGTATTTTTTTATTTTTTTAAAATTAATATTTAGTATTAAATATTTAATTTTAAAAAAATAAAAAAATATGTCTCTAATTTTTTCCAATTTGTGACAAAATAAGACCCGGAAATGGACAAATTTCCAAAATGTCGTTTTTAACGGCCACCCTAATAGGTATACTTTATTTATAAAATTAGCAATTTTTAAAAAATAGAATTCAAAAATTTGTTATTCAATCTTTTTTTTATAAAAATAAAATATGAATTGGAATATAATTTTTTAATATTATAATACACTGTAAAAAAAGGGAGTTAATTTTTAACTTTTCAGGAGATTCTATAAAAGTTGGACCCATTTGAGAGTTAAACCGAAAGGAGTTGGATGAAGGGAGTTGAAATTTACACAGTAAAAATAAGAAGTTATTAAATTAACTCCCTTTTGGAGTTATTTTTGTATTTAAATAATTGAATGCTCGTAGAATTTTCAAATAAAAATTGATTTAAAAATGAATTTCGCTTTAAATGTTTTAGATAATAATTGAATATAAAAAGCATTATAACGTGAATTTTTAGAAATAATTGATATTCGAAAAGTTTTCAACTTAAAATATTTGAAAAGGGCCTAGCGGAGTAAGCATGCAAAATCTGCCCCCGCTCAAAAAAATTTGAAATTCTTGTTACATGTTGGTAACATTAAGATAAAATTTTTCATCAAATATTTTTTCAAAAAAAGTATTTTTGTAAGAGTTATGGAGGGGGAAAGAAAAATCAAAAATTTGTTTTTTCTCGAAAACCACTGGATCGATTTTAATGAAATTTATATGTATTTTATAAATTCATAAGAGGAATTTAAAAAAAAATTCAAAAAATTTTGCCCAAAAAATACCCCAAAAAAGAAATTTTTTAATTTTCAAAAAAAAATTTTTTGGTCTTATTTTGGAGATACTACTTTGAAATTTGTACAGAAAATTCTCCTAAATGTGTTCTTTTAAGAAATATTTTTGTCGATTTTTTTAATTAGGTACCACATAGTTAAAAAAATTAAAATCCTAGATTTTTCTTTCCCCCTCCATAACTCTTACAAAATACATTTTTTGAAAAAATATTTGGTGAAAAATTTTATCTTAATGTTGCCAACATGTAACAAGAATTTCAAAGTTTTTTGAGCGGGGGCAGATTTTGCATGCTTACTCCGCTAGGCCCTTTGAATTTTTCATACTTTCAAGTGACAATTGTATAGAATTAATTTTTTGAAATAATTGAATTTTCTTTGAAATCATTAAAAAAAAATTTTTTTTTAATATAGGGGAGACCGAGGCGTAATGGCTTAGGGGCGTAAATCATTTCGATTTATTCAAACTTGATATGTCATAGTAATTTTAGTCTCTGCTCAAAATAATGTACTTGGTGTACTGTAAGTTTGTACCAAGTTTAATTGTTATTCATTTATTATTGTTGAAAATATGGTAGAAAAAGTGATTTTGATGCTTGAAAATAAGTTTCTAAAGTCTTTATTTTTTTGTTATATCTTTTTCAAAAATAGTTGTAAAAAATGTTTAAAAATCAAGTTTTGGGCTTAGAACATTTGTTTTTAAAGAACACTTGACAATTTTTGTCTAATACTTATGGTATTGATAAAAAGTAACAAAATATTCAACAAACACCTCCGTGGTATTGGCCCGTTTATTCTACTAAGAAAAACCTATTATTTTAAAAATTTTAATAAAATAATCCTGTCAAGTTTAATTTCTTGCAATTCATATATTAATAAGTACAAATGACAACATTTTATTAAAAAAAAATTGGAGAATAGATTTTTTAAATAAATGTAGTTTGTATTTCGCTCCAACTTTATAAAATTTGATTATTTCACGGAAATGTTTGAAGTTTAAATTAAATATGTTTCATTTTCAATATTGTTTATTATAAATATACAATATACCTCTCTAATTTTTCACATCATGACCTGATATTCCAAGCGTGACGAAATTAGACAGGTCCTGACGAATTTTCCTAGTTTGCGCCTCACTGGACGAAAGGACATCTATTCAGGGCCTTACTAAATCCTATTTTCAATTTCCATACGGGTAACAGAACATTTTTTTGAACAAAATTTTTTCCTTTATTTTCTAAAAATTCAAAAAGTTTTAATTAGGTACATTTTTAATTAAAATTTGTAATTGACAAGTATAATTTTTGATTTGTCAAATAAGACTTTAATAATTTTAAAGAAAAAAATAACAAAAACATACACAAAAACTAACTTTAAAGTGTGGACAGGCAGAAAAAATGAAAGAATGCAAGACGAAGAATATTATAGTTAATTACCTTATCTTTTTTAAATTATTACATATACACTTTTCACCTGTCAAAATTATTGTATACAAATATAAAGAAATTTAACAGACGACTTTTTTGTGAGCAATATTTATTGCTTAATGAAACTCTTAATTATTCCTCTCATCAAATTGTAAAGGAAAATAGAATAGTTTTCTGAAAGTTGGACGCGTTTTCTTTAGTGTGCTCATATTTCATGTTATAATATCCCTTTGGCACACAGTCCAAAATCAAATCCGAAATGTAATGGTGTGGACAGCAATAGTGGGTTGCTTATCTGCGGTCACCATAGAATTTTCACCGAATACATTACATACGTCGTTTAGATGATTGGCACAGATTAGACAATGTGTGAAACTTGCCACACGGATTTTCGATAAGACTACGTTTTAGATCTCCCTCATTCTCTCACTTTTTTTTTGTTTCTTCTCTTTTTCTCCTTCCAATCAAACTTAAAAATTCCACCATTTCGTATATTTTCTAACATGTTCTTTTTTATATTGGAAATTTGAAATTACAGAATTGTCCTGTAAATTGATTAATATTTTTTTTAATTTTACAATTTAATTATTTTTTATTATTATTAGAATCTTTATCCACTGTGTAGAAATCGTCAAAATCAAAAATGGCGGATTTTAAAAATGAAATAGGGTACTCAAGAGTTTTTGGGGTAGCTGAAAAAGAATCTAATATAGATGTTTTGTTTTTTGTATCATAGTGTAAATTGGTAAAGTAGTACTTTGTCCTATACCTGCACGGAAAGTATGTGTCGACACGCACAAGTCAAATTTGTTTGTTTAAAAATTGTTTAAAGTTCTCTTGTTGCGCGTGGATGAATAAATAATTTAAAAACACTTGATATTTAATGAAGCAAAGTAATACATTTTATTTTTCTTTGAAAGGCACTCCACATTTGATTATATTAATTATATTAATTACAAATTAAAATTTTATATTATAAAAGTACATTGCTGTTTAAAGTCAAACAATGATCTGGTAAATCATCACCACTATTCTCTCAATTTCCTTCAAATTTCTCCTTCTACACAGCTTATCGTTTTTCATTATACTTTTGGAAATAGATGGCATCACTTATCAGTCACATTTTATACATTACATTTTACATCCCGCCGGCCCTGACAGGTCAATACTTTACAAATTAATTTCCACTGGAAGTGGTGAAATTCTTTTTACACCCCGCTCAGTTACACCATTATTTGTTCTTAATTTTACAACTCGCACCACTGAATCATCACCCTTGATGACCTCAACAACTCTGCCCATACACCAATGTAGAGGAGGAACATTTTCCTCTTTTATTGTTACCAAAGTACCCACTTTAATGTTATATTCGCCCACAAACCATTTACTCTTTAAATTTAACTCATTCAAGTACTCCTTTGACCATCGTTTCCACAGATCATTTTTTATTTTTTGAATATGTTGCCATATATTCAGTCTATTTGATGGAATCATGGAAAGGTCAGTCGATGGAATTGTCAAAAGAGATTGACCGATAAGAAAATGTCCCGGCGTTAAAACTTCGAAGTCATTCGGATCAGATGACATTTATGTTAATGGGC